TCAAGTCCTCTTGATCTCTTTTTTATTTTCAATTTTTGACAAAGGTCCAATGACCTGGGGAGATAAAAATTTTGCACACTCATCCTGTGACTGGAGTATAAAACATTCTCAAGATTCAAAAATTTTCCTCCTGGGAAAGATAAAAATAGGAAAGTGTCTAGAAAACTTTCTTAACAATAAATCTCATAGTTTAATTTTTAGTTTTTTTATTTCTTTCTTGTAATATTTTCATTCATTTTTCAACACAAAGTTCTATTTATAATAATAACCTAAAAAAATAATTCCCCTTCAAATCAATACAAAAAAAAAATAACTTCTTATCATTTATCCTAATATTTATCACTTGGAAATGATATTATCATTTTCATTTTCTATCATCAATATTAAAACACCCAACCAGCTATCACACAAGCTTGCTAACTGCTAAAACGGCAACGATAAAAGGGCAAAATATTATATTATTGATTTATATGAATCTTTCAAACTGACATCAATATAAAATTACCTAAGAGCGTTCATCGAACTTCATCAGGTAATCAATTCAGTCTGCAGTAGTAAATATAGACAGTTGACTAATCGTTACTTCAGTCAATGTTATCACTAGTTTACTACATTTTTACAACGTTCAGTAACCTTCAGCCATTTATTTGAATACCTGGTAACACTTACAAATTTACTTTATTCATCAAGTCACAGAGTCGACCTAAATATTCACAGCTATTTCAAGAAAAGAAAAAGTGTTTTATTTGGCTTATTTTACTATGAACAAAGTAAAGAAAAAAATTTAATAAAACAGTTTGGAGTTATTTTAATATAAAAATAATAGTTATCGGTTTATTATATCAGGACTTTTGTGTAACTTAGACCTTAGTTTGGTCTCATTCTTAATTTCGTGCTCTACATGACCAAGTTTCAATATCAATCTAAGTAGTCTGTCGGATTGTGTGACTGGGTGAAGGTTACGACTGGAATCACGATTGTACAATGAAGTAAAGTGGAAATGAATAAATATGTATAATATATTTGAGTAATTTATCTTATCTTAATTGTTTCTGTGATTTAATGTATCATAAAAAAAAACAATTTTCATGGTTTAATCTTTCCAGGGGGATGATAACCATCATGGTCACCTATAGCTGCAATATTCAATTTCAGAATAATTATATGAAAGAATAAATTAAGGATTAGATTTCCCTGATTAAAAACAATAGCCTTGTCTTTCTAATTAATTTTTTATTGAAAAACTCTTAACCTTGATGTTTCATACGTGTTCATTTTGATCAACATTTACTGTTCCTGATCATTTCTATTATAAGCAAACTACTTATTGTAATTCGCTTCCTCTAATAACACCTCCAGATGTTCCCTACACATTATCTTAACCTAATGATACCTAATTTGAATATTTCATTGATGGTTTGCCCATGGTACCACTATTTTTACCAGTTGAATTACTGTTTGCCTTGACTCCAATGTCGTCTTTACCACAACAATTCTAAAGCGGAAGTAAAAGAGCAGTTTAGAACGTTTATCAATGTAACCATAGATCGATTTATTAATCACCTTTTGTCAAGATCTACACTTTAATAGTGAATGTTATTACACTTTTATACTTTGATCAAACGACCTTCTTTTATTCTATTATTAAACATTTACAAATTTGATTTACCAGATAATTTTGTCCATTTATCGTATTATTGATTATTTTTAGCTACCTATCGAGTGTAAATTCTTTTCATTGATATTTTGAAAGAACTTAATTAACTAAATGGAAGAGAGTGGTTAATTGTTGAATGAAAAAATTTTTTCTTAATTAAAATAGAAGAACAAAAACTGAATTTGAATATAAATTCAATGAGTAATCGATTTAATCAAGAAAATTCTCGTTAATGTCTCAGAATTCAATTCCATCTAGCCGTCTTCATGTTTGCTTTTAAATGAGAATCGTTTGCTCTCGTTCATCAAACGAATTAATCAAATTTCACAAATATACGATGAATTGAGAGTTTTAATTGGCAATAAAACCTTAGGAAAATATTCTATTTTTACTAACAATACTTTTTAATTTTGATCTTTAATTTTTCTCGTGTTGTTTTATTATTTTTTCAACTCGCAAACGTTATCCTCACTCCTATATAAACTACCCTCAATGTAAAAATAGAAGGATTATCGATTGGTTTTCATGCTACACATAGACATCATTCAGTTACGGTATTATTATTTGATTCATTTATTTTTCTCTCAGTTTTCTCGTTCATTGTTCTATTCAGTTCATTGTGGAAAAATTATTTGAATCATTCAAAAAAAGAACATGGTGCTTTTTGTTCAAAGGTTTTGATGTTTCATTATTCTTTCAATACAAAAATATTTTTTATTGGTATTTATTTCATTCCAATTACTTTGTAAAGAAAAATATTATAAATTAAATCTAAATTGTAAAAACTCTTTAATAATTAATAATATATTTTAAATAATAATTGTTGCTAATAGTGAGCTTTTTACCTTTACTTATTAAAAGATTTTCTTAGTTTAAACCTACTCAGAGCTTTTATTATAAAAATATACAAAAGAGTCTCTAATAAGAATTATCCTATTTACTCGGTAAAGTATGATTCAGAGATGTTAGAAGTTGTTAAAATATTCTGAAAGACCACAATAAATATCCAAAGGCAAACATAAACATGCTTTTATTTTTTTAATGTTATTTTCTCCAGAGAGAAATTCTTTCATGACCAACTTTAAAATTTTTTACTGTGACGTAAAAAATATTTAAGTTCTCTTCTTTCTTTATATATTTTTGTTTTATCAAGTTCCATGAGAATTAAAATTTTTTTTTGGTAAAAAAATGTTAACTTAAGTATAAAAAAATTAGTTACAAATTATATAATAATCTAAATATTATAAAAAAATGTATAGAAAAAAAATCATTGACTGTTTAATAGCATACAATAAACGAGTCAATATTTAAAGAGAAATTAGTTAAGTATATATGAAGATTAGTTAAAATAACATTATGATAGCGTGGAAAGTGTTCGACATGGAAAACCTTATTGATAAAGCAACTAGTGGCAATTGTGAAGGCCCAATTATTACGATAAAGTCAATAAACGAGATTTATGCTAAAGGGATTAAACAATGGACATGTGTAATGTCGACTATAGACGACATTTTTGGACTGTCAGATGGATTCAATGAATATTAAAGATGTATTGAAATGGATTGAAAATTAAAGGACTATTTAATTCAATTATTTTATAATATCAATACTCATCGAGAATTTGTTTCTATAATTATTCATAATAAAATTATTATTTTCCAATACACAATATCCTGTACAAAAATGAATAGATGAAGTATTGAATAATTATTTATTCACCACCATTTTTTTTTTTAATGATTATTAATTAATTTTGATTGATTGTAATTTTTTAGAAGCTATTTATTTCCAAGAACTACCTTATAATTACTCTAGCATTTTATTGATTTATCATTTAAAATAATCTTAACCTAAAAAAATTTTTTAGTGCAAATATTAATGCATAATATTATTGTGTAAATAATAAATCATTCATTGAACAATCTTCCAACATGTAATTTTATTTTTTTAATATAAAAGTTGAATTTTGGACTCCTTTGGATTTCTCCAACTTTCCCTTAAATAAAAACAGCTACAATAGGCCTACGAGCTAGATTTTAAACCTTCTCCTGGTCTTTTTGGTCAATCTTTTAAATAAGAGACTGATTCCTTAATTTTCAAAGGGAAATAAAAAATATCGTCCAGTCATTGGGAATCCAACAATTTTAATTTTAAAATAAAAATAAACAATAATAAATTCCTACAACATCTTATCAAGCTCGAATGCATAAATACCAAACAGACCTGAATGTATGATAAATGCTACCTGTAATCTACATAACATATAACAGAGTATTCTAAAAGATGAATCATTTCCTGTCTTCTTTCAAAAGAAAAAATGATAAGAAAATTTTATTAATGGAAAAGTAAGTAGTTAATGAAAAAAAAAGCTATTGCATTTGTTACTCTGACATGGAAAATGGGGTCATAGTGGTAGATATCAACGATCAGGTGGACAGGGTCATATTAATGTTATGAGAATGGAGGGTAGTATGTAAGAGTGAGACAGTAATAATGTGCAGGTTGTTGGAGTTGGTATTGTAGAGTTAGTGGCGGTTATTTATAATCTGTCGTCACTGCGCACTTTGGTAGACGAATAGGAGAAACTAGAGAGGTGAGGTTTGCATTCACTACGACAACCGGAAGATCGAAAGGTAAAAGAGGAAGAGGGATAGCGTCATTGGTCGAAAGTGGTTGCAAGTCGATGGTTGTGGTAACCCATACGGCCTTGGCCCCATGTCCTCATTCGTGTATGCACTGTCGTGTTATGACTAAAGTCATGTTTCGTTTTCATAGAATTGAATGTAAAGAAAATGTATAATACAAGAAATTGGCAGGATACTAACAGAATCAATACTTTCAACTACTCTTTCAAGTTTACTTTTTTTTTTCTCTGTAAAGGTGTGATATAATTATTAGCTACTTATTGTAACCTTTAGTATTAAAAAAAAATCACACTCGTAGGCATCTCTATGAAGATGCAGTTAATTGGAAAAAATAAGAGCTAAAAAGATGGAGGAAAAAAATCAGTTTTATATTTAGGGAAAAATATCAATTATTTTCTTCAATGATTGAAGTGTAAAAAAATTTTACGCTTTATGTGTAGAACTTGTAGGCTTTTAAGTGTAAAAAAAGTACTCATTAATTTGACCATAGGTCTATCTTTTATTCAACTGAAGACAAAGGAATTTAAATAAATTTTTCTGCTGATATTCGATGGATCAATTTTTGTAGAAATGTTGACTGCAGAAATATTTTTCTTTAATAAAATAAAAATGAATAAAACAATTTACTAATTAATATAAATAATATAAAGTCATAAATAAAAAGAAACTCTAAAAGATATAACATTTGATGTTTGCAGAGTCCAGCATCGAGTGTTCACTGTCAAAGGCACAAAATGCAGGGTTGAATCATTTGATCCCTTTTTATCGGTCGACAGAACTGTTCGGGAAAAACTAAAGGGTAAGAAATGAGCGGAAAAAGTGGAAAACATGAAAGAGTGCAGTAGTTAAAAACAGCGTACACAACAAAAAATCGACAACCTGACTCATCCATCCCGACCAGCCACATTTCTCACGCTAAGGTAAGCTGTGCTTTATGATTCAAATTTATTTTTAAATATTTGCTTCTATTTATATACACAGTTTCTCTATTAAGACTACTTTTAACAACATTTCCACCTCATCATAAAAACTTGAACATTCCCCAAAAATTCATCAAAGTCAATCTTTTTGACTAAAAAAATAAAAACCTCAACTATAGCATTCAAATCGTGAAAATTCGATGAAAAAGTTTTCCATCCTCCCAACGATTTATTACCGAATAATATGTATTGTTTGGAGTGAAAAAAATCTCAAAAGTTTCGAGCAAACTTGACATCGATCTAATCTTTGATAGACATTTTTTTCCTTAACGTTCAGTCAGGAATTTTCAAGTTTTGTTAAATATATTCTGACAAGTACTTTTTATTCACAATACATTCCAATTCTCAGACCAAAGGATCGTTTTAAAGCTTGAAAAGTTCAAGAACACCTTTGTGTATCTGACGGAAAAAAGTCTTCTTTTCTCTAAAGTTAACATCATTATTTGATCGATTTTCTTTTTTCTCATGGTCATTAAGCAGCTTGGTCACCTTTCTATAATGTCGTTAATGCCATCCTTATGTAACCTTATTCTTAAAATAAATTCTGACCCTTCCGTATTTATTCATTCCTTCCATGATAATAAAAAAATACGTGCTTATAATATTTAACTAAATAATAACAATCATTTTTTTTAATTGTGATGTTAAATATAAAGTTGAAAGTGATGATATTAATCTTAAGTGTCTCGAGAGTTGAAGAACAGCATCAAACAACAGGAGAACGCAATTCTCCAAGGCTTACAGTGGATTATAGGATATTCTATGACTGTCTGAATTCCATGTTGAAGTAGGTCACACGGTAGGATTTCCCTCCTTGAAGGATCATAAATTCAGTGTCTTCAGGATCCAATTGCGTCTTTTTGTTTTTCAACCAACGACACAAATTTTGTCTAGGTTATCCTCATTCATTGTTTTCTCTTCTAGTGTCATAATAATACCACAATTTGCGCTGGTTTCACCACTTGACCATGAATATATTTGTATAATTTTAAGATAATTAAATGGAACCAAATTGAGTACCCGGAAGTGTTTGTACGCTGCTTGAATAATGTTAGGCTTTCATTTCAGTGGAGTACCTTAATCATGGAAATTAAAGCACGACGTTGAAAGATTTCTGTCATAAATGGTCTAAATTGCTCAAGAAAGAATGAAAGAAAGAATTCTTTTAAAGCAATTATCACTGGAGACTGGTGCACATAAAAATCCAAAGCTTATACTTTTAAAGAAGTTTCTGGACCAGTTGATAGATTGAAACTTTATGAAAACAAAATTTTGATGTAATAATCTAAAACTTCATCATGCTAATACTTATTCTACCTCATTTACTGTAATAAAAGTAGTAAAAGTTCCAAATCTATCCAACCCTAGTATATGTGAGTGTTTAGAAGGTATAGCTGATGATATTATAGTTACAATTATTGGAAAAATATCATTATTATGGAAGAAGGTTGATCTTTTCTCACAATTATGTAGGATCTAGAGTCAAGGCTCTAGATTCTAATAAAGGTTGTAATATCTTTATGTACAGTAGGCGTACTAAAAAAGTTTTATGTATTTAATGCTTTTTTCGTTGCCCAACAAAGTTCCCCTGCAATCCAAGTAACCCTAATTTATAGGCTGCAACTAATCAAAGCTCCAGTTTATTTATACTGATTGTTGAGGAGTAGGGTCAGGTTTTAGTTCAGTTTTTATGAAGAAAGTTTTTCTAGTTCTTTTTGTACGTCATTTTTGATTTATATTCCTAATCATATTTTATAAAAACCAACCCCTAGGCCCAGCTCTTATATTAGAATTCAAAGATAAAATCATTTAAAAGCACCTAACAATTGTAACAATGATAACATTGGACTGAATTCTAGGGTATTTATCACATCCAGTGTATTATGAAACGTATAAAAATACCTGGAAAAATTTTTAAACTCCACAAAAGCTTATTCCCATTCTCCAACGATTTCGAATTAATTCACAACTTCATACCTTTATTCCTAAAATCCAAACATTGGCAGAAAATTCTCTATATTTTCTCACAATTCATAGAATTGATTTTCCTCTTAGGCAAAACAAAAATCATTTTATTGACCCTCATAATGGGGTGAGAACAAAAGAGTCCTTGTAGGAAGTGGAATGACTTTAGTACTAGGACGAGATGAAGCCACGTGACCTTACACTATAGCCGGTATGCCGCAACGCCCGGTATTGATCGTACGGTATCAGCTGTATGGTTGGCAGTGTTGCCTTTACTAGTAGGAAAGCTTTATCCTACAAGTGCAACTACGAGCTCTTTCAAGAATTACTAACAAACTGATGCCAAATTCAATTGACAAGCCAAAAGACTCTCGACAAACATACATTCCACCAACAAGATTATTAGTTAGCTGTGCCAATGTTTTTCGGGGTTAAAGATCGGAATATGGTTAAAGACTCTAGCGAGATAGGGGTAGCTTTGTAAGTCTCATTTTATAGACAGCTTAGCCGCGTGCCCGACTGACCTCCAATTGGTTGGCGTTACACTGACGCCTATTACGACGACCCAGACCTAAAGACGCCAACAGATCACGAAAATTCAATGGTATATAAGTCGAGTTTTTGCGTGATAAAAGATAACTAAAATTACTTAGTCATTATCAATGCTGATGTTTTTTCAAAATTTCAACATCTTGATCTAGATGATGGAGATAAAATTTCTTTAAGTAATGAGCTGTTGGATTATTATGATTTCTAGCATTGAAGTGTAAAACAATTTTTTTCTTCAACATGTTAATGTAATTAATTACGATAATGATAATAAAAAAAGAACTGAGGGTACTAAAAAAATAAGCTTATTAAAATATTATGAACACAGAAACAAAAACTTTGAACATTACAGGTTTTTTCTGTACAATTTTATTTTATTTTATTTAGCTTTGTATTTTTGTACTAATATAATAAAAAACAAACAACCAAACCAACTAGTAGTAGAACGAGAAACAATTTTTTTTAAATAATTCATATAAATAAACCTAAGATCCAGAGTTTTTTAAAATTAAATCTTTAGAATGGGATTAAAATGTTTCATTCTTATGTTTGCTTGAAAACTCAATCTTTTGTAAACTCATAAAAACTCTGATGGCTTTTTTACGATCACACATTTTTATTTTATAGCATTCCAAACGCAAACTTAGTGATTTTTACATTTATGATCAATGTATCTATCAATATCCTATTTAAACATTACATCAACTGTTGGTCAGTTTGGATTGAGTTTAAATATTTGAAAAGATGTTCTTTGATGTATTTCAGTTGAGACGATATTCAGAAGTTTAGTTTAATTATTGATTCAACTGTTAAGAGCATTACCAAGCAACACATTGATTGATTGGAAACAATGAATCAGTGTTTGATAGGGTGAACAGACTGCTGATAGATGAACACTATCCAAATGATGGATAAATGGTTCAAATTAGAAAACAATACTGATCAAAGTATTTTAAAATATTTCTTGATATTAAAATCCAGATCTAAATGATGTTCTTATTCTTTATCATCTCTTAGTCTTCCAACTGTACATCTAAAAGTATGTTTACCAAAATTCATCAAAGATTCTAGAAATGATGATAATGTTTGTTGGTTCACAGGTTATCAATAAACTTTCTCAACACTTTTGTTGAGTAAAAATTAAATATGATTGTTATCAGTAAAAGAACTTATTCAACTATTGAAAAACTATAAATTTAAAAACTCTATTTTTTATGACATATTGTTGCAATTAATTGAAATATTTTATCAACTAAAAATCCTCTTATAAATTTTACATGACACGACAGCATTCATCTTTTTATTAAACAATGTATAAAAAAATTGCTATTCATTCATACTAAGGAATTTATAACGATAAAACTTTACGTTGAAAAAAGGGAATAACAGCTTGTTTGTCGATTTTTTTCTCCATAACACGGTTTGAGGTGAAGTTATAGTTAGAGAGACGGTCGATATTGATAGGGTAAAAATAGATTGATACTTTTAAAAGTAAACTATGTCATGGTGGCAGTAAAAAAATATAGTGTATTGATTTTATTGATAACAATTTATTTATTTGTTATTCTTTTTTTTTCTTGTTTTATTATTTTATTGTATTTTACAATTGAAAACTCAGGATCATGTAAGACAAAAGGTGAAGTATTATTTTATCCTTTATTTTTTTGATCTGAGGAAGATGTTTGTTATTTTCAAAGTATTTCTATCTCTGTGACAAGAAGCAAAGATAGTTGGTATCTCAAGAGGAAAATGTGAAGAGGAAAGCCTTAAGGCACAACTTTAAAAAGGTAAATCGTGGTATGATAAAGTGAGCACATTCCTCTCTAGTCTCATTTTAAAATCCCTCAGGCTTCTTTTTTACTTCATGAAAAGCGTCAAAAAAATTAAAGAATTTCATTGAATCCACTTTGCTAACCTTTTCAATTACTTTTTCCATCGTTTTTGAGATCAATTTTATCATGTTTTGACTGATAATCGTTAGGGCAAAAGTCAAACTCGTGAATTCTACTGTCAGAGAACATTTTCAAAAAATAAATTGGCATGATTTCCATTACACATTCAGCTTTTCTTGAGATATGAAAAATGAAATCGCTAAAAAATTGATTATACTCATATATGTTACTTCCTTCTCAAACAAGATACTTGATATAAAAAATATTTCATTCAAATTTCAATAAGCAGAATTCGTGTTATTGAAATGAAATATTTGAACGAAAATCACATGTCATTCTGTCATCTCTGTGACTCTTCCTTGACTTTCTCATATTTTGTCATGTCATCTTGAAACTATTTCTCTCATGTCATCTTTCATGAAACAAGAAAAACGCGAAATATACTTCCTCCAAATAATAATGACATATATTATGATTGTTTTTTTTTTACATTATTACAATTCATGTTCTAAATAATAAAAAATAGATATCTCTGTTATCTTCTTTTCATACAAACATAAAATAATGGCTAATAAATATCAGATAAAGCCTTGAATTTTATTACATTAATCTACTCAATAGCTTACTCAAATTTTATCAAGCTTAAAATTGATTCCTAGCTTTAATTATTGCTCGTATATTTGCAACAAAAGTAACGACATTAACTTGATAAACGTTGCTGATCAAATTTATGGAAATTATCTTTAATTATTATCATACTTCATCATGTTGTACCCAACTTTAGATAATTTAATTCCCTTATTTTTTACAATTGGTTGACAACCAGAACATTGGACACCTCAAACCAATTATGTAACTATAAACAACGAGTTAGTCAAAAGTTAATTAATGAATTATCTAATTGATAGTGCTGACATAACTTCCATGTCAATGCTTGCCTATATTGAGGAACATGTGGTTGGTTAATTAATTTATGTACATCATGAAGAAAGAACATATTTGTCCAATATTTACAATTTATGTAGATTCTTTGAAATTGCATACGTGAAATAATGTTAATGGTCTTGAAGAAGTCGACTCATGGTAGAATATTTCTGTGATCTCCACCAACTTTTTATTAATTCAACGACATTACATCCTTTTATTAAGATTTTATTAAACTTTTAATATTGCAATATTCCTACCACGATTAATGCATATAAAATAATGAATATTTTATAGATGAAATGACTTTATTCAGGATTAATTAAATTATTTAAAAATTTGGGGCATGGACGAGTTTAATTACGTGCTAAATTATTCATCACACATAAATTTCGAATTAATTTTAACCTTTAGCTCTCTGTGAAAGTTACTGAGTATATTAATTTTTAAGTAGTTTTGAAGTCTGATATATTCATCCTGAGTGTTATTCATATTACTGATTAATTATTTATTTGAAATTCAATCTCTATGATTAATTAAAAAAAATTCAACTATTCCAGCTGGTTGATGATGAAAATTCAAGAAATTTTAATCTGCTTGATTGGATAAACACTTTGATATCAAAATCAAATGACGATAATTTAATATTGGAATTTAGTATGTACTAGAAAGTTCATAATAAACTTTTTCCAACATTAAATTCAACTGCTTTCAATATTCTCCCTCTGAGCGAGCAAAATTTCCATGGATTATTTCCCTCTTCTAGACTATTTCCTATTTAATAAAATTATTTTATTATTGCCAGCTGGCTTGAAAGTGAAAGTGTTCAATTTTATTGACATTTATTATGCTCAATGTTCTTTTTTTTTTTAATACAAAATTATTATTCCATAAATCAGATAAAAAAATATTTCACCTTTCTAAATCAAGAAATGAAGTAAAAATGTTTGCATGCTCTAAATGACAGTTTTCTATTTACATTCTAAAATAAAACTTGGCAATACATCTGATAAAAATTTAAACCAACTTTGAATAAAAATACTAAAACAACTGAACTAATTTTATTACAATCTTATTCCTAAGTGCACACTAAAACGACTTTAAACTTATAGTAATTCTTTTATCGAGTTCTCTTGATTTATAATTGTATTACAACTATCACTACAGCTGGACACCGCACTGTAAAAGAGCTTAGAGAAGAATAATATTTTATCTTCTATACTTTGTAATACGTTTTAAAACTATTGGAAAATAATATCTCATCTGTAAGATAGAAGAACAACGTTACTATTAGATTTCTTAACCATATGTTATCAGAAGCAACGTTATATCTGTGACAGTTAAAGCAATATGTAGGAGGTTGGTTTATTGGACCAATTGTGAGTTTTCAATGTAACCTTTTCTGAATTCCCCTAGAGATATAAAACTGTCGAAGGTGTTTACTATGGAAATAAAATCTAAGATTTTAAATAGCACTCAAGTAATAGAATAAATTCGATGAAATTATTCAGAATGAATCCTACTTGAAACAATAGTATAATTTTATTTTAAATGCTAATAAAGATAACAAAAAATATATATAGAATAAATCAGAGTCATATCATGAGCTGCTTTTGTATCATGAACAGTTTGAATTACCCAACTTTTGTAAACTTAAAACTAGATAAACACTCTCCTTTTCGGAGCATTGTCATGCTATTCTTATTGTTAAGATAACTTTTACAGCATCCTTTAACAAGCCATCAATTTAAAGCTTGAATGAGTTGGTTATCTTGCCTGTAATTGTCCTCCAGCGAACTATTGAGTATCCGTAACTCAATACACACGAGAATTGCCTCAATTGTGCTTGGCCCAATGAACAAACCGAATCGTCGTTACAGTCGATACATTTGATGAACGACCTATCGTTTGATGCACTTTTATATAACACGCCACTATTGGAATTCTTGTGATTTTATTTTTTATTACATTTCATAACTTTAAAATCAACACAATAAACGCTGGTAAATGTCAACAAGGAGATTCCAGATGATTCAGCTTTTCCATTATAGTGAAAAGAAAAAAAACCAAAAAAAAAACGTCATGACATTATAAGTCTTCATCATCAAGGTTAAATAAGAGACACTTTGTCATATTTAATTGATTTTCATACACTATCGAGCACCATTATCGAGCTTATTCTAAGCAGAAGCCGTAAAGTTCAGATCTAGACAACTGGAAAAGCTCTAATCTTGGGTAAGCGAAACGCTGAAGTAGATTGTTCTGAATTTACATGAGAAAACCGATTATGTATACATGAGCTGCTATGATACAGATTAAATTTTCTTTTATATTTGGGCATTGATGACATTAGTGATACCTAGTGGTTACTTAATTATCATTTCATTTCATGCTGTTACAACACAGGTCAAATGTCTTTGACCTTTCGAGCAACCTTCTGCAAAACATGATCAAAAATCAAGTAGAATAATTTGTTAAAGCTTCCTTTGAAATTAGCTTCAAAGAACAGTGATCAATTATTAAGGAAGTTTAAATAAACTCATTTGTTTCTTACCTAAACTGTTGGTGAATATTCATCGTTTTGGTGTGACTGAAATAGAAATAGTAATGTGATGTAATTAAGTATCAAGTCTTGCTCTTTAGATATTTTGAAAAGCATTCTCTTGAATATTAGTTGAAATTATTCAATAGAATAATCAGTAATTTATAGTTAACCGTAATAAATAGCTGAATGATGAAATGAATCCCCTGCACTTTGACATTAAAGTTACCTAAATGCTGGAACATTACAATGTAGAGTAAACTACACTCCTTTGGCCTTACCACAGTCATTGGCCCTTTCTATGTTAAATCAATTAACTGGAATGAGTGGGAATGGGTGTCAACGATTGTTCTTAAAGTGTCAATCATGAAATGTTTTACCCCAGTTTCAATAGCACAAAGCTATGTTGACCAATTATTATCATTTTTCATTCACTCATACATTTATATAAAGGTACAGAAAAAATAATGCATTGTTTGACCTATATTCTTCTTATATTTTATATTTAAAATATTTTCTTCTTCATGCAAATATATTCAGCAAACTATCGTATTTTTAGATACTTTACCAAAGCTGTAGAATTAATTTTTCTCAGTTCTCAAATATCAACTTTTTTTTTTTAAAGTAAACTTAAACTTTTTCTATTCCATCACCACTAGCCATCACTTAGGAATGATTATTCATTTACAAAAATCAATTTCTTGTTACCAGAAATATTCCACGTTATTAAACACTCAGTAAAGTTGTTCATAATACTGTGAAACTTTCAGTAAATGATGATAATGCTGATAAAGTAGCTGTGAATATGTAGCCATAAACTTAGGAACCCTGTGAGATGAAGTTATTTCACATGGAAACAACCTGTAAGTGAACTTGACTGAGTAACGAAAGTCAACTTCAAAAATTCCATGAATTTAGTATAACAAATGATAGCAGATTCAACTGAGAAGCTTCCTTTTGTGATACTGAAGAAAAGCCTGCTAAGAACTTGGGGGAAATTCACATCAAAGGATCCACCTCAATCTACTGTTATTTATAGCCAGGAGGTTTTAACTTCCTTGGGCTTCAAGAGTTCAGCAAACTTAACCAGAGAAAACTTAATAGCCGAGTTCTTGTCGCTCTATTCCCCAGCTCCAACGTCCCTCTGACATTTGACGTAAGAAGCCAAGTAGTCTATTCAACCATGTGCAAAATTATTTGACTTTCTTGCCACCATAATGAGCAGAGGATGGGGTTGAATTAAAAATAGGTTTATTGATGGGATTGGAACTAAATAAGTGGAGGATTGTTTTGGAGATGATTTTTATTGTCAATGTTTGATTATTTGTTTCTCTTTTGTGTTTCAGATGACATAGAATGGGTTGGGTGGCGCTAGGACGGCGTGCGGGTGGTGGCAACCGCCTATCACCCATCCTCTCGCTGTCTTTCGCCTCCCTCGCAAGCTCCTTAATATTTACCATCCTTTGTATCCTCACCCTAACGCTCACATCTGCAACTTTTGTTCGCTCTGAAGACATGTACGTATTTATTTATGGTTATTTTTTATGATAAATATTTATTTAGATAATAATATTTATTATTACTATTATCATAGACTCCATAGTGAGTAGAGAGATGCGACTGACATTTTTTCGAATATCAAATAAACGTTGATGTGTAAAAAAAATTGATAGATAATTTTAAATTTTCTCTAGTGTGTTTTTACAATTTTTTTAAGGAAAATTGGCTCGATAATTGAGTAATGTGTGCTTTCACGAATAAATTGAATACTTACTGGGGCAAATTTAATATTTATCGAAAAAGTTATTTGCAATTTTTTTAAGTAAAGTAAATTTCTTTGCTTTTTTATACTGGGTTAGTTTTTTTAAGACACGTTTTTTTGTTATTTCTTGAGAGTTAAATGTGTAATATAATATTCAAATATTTAGTTGGCTCAAAGCAATTTTCTATCAAATCAAATTTGATCAATAACTTGAGATATTTTTATTTCAAGTTATTTATTTATCAAATTTTTAAAATTAAAATCAAATTTTTTATCAACATCAACGTTAATTTATTCTTCAACAGTTAGTTAGGGCACTTTTGTAATTAAAGATTAGTCGATTAGAATTGTCTAGATAATTAGTAGTCCAGTTGAATTGAGAATAAAAAATGATAAAGAAAAAGAAATAAATAGAAATTAAAAAAAAGAAGAGGAAATAATAAATGTCAGAAATGTCTGGTATAGTTCGGTGGAGTTTTATAGGCAAAGGGTACGTTGATTATTTGACAAATGTGTTGCAGTTTCGAGGAAGGCAAATCGGACAAGGAAATCCTGGACAATCTGCTGCTGGCAACGCGTTATGACAAGCGGCTTCTGCCGCCGGTGCAAGGTACACTACGGCCCCCACCCCATACTCGTCAAGACGACTACATCCCTGACCATCTTGAAACACCCAATGACCAACCTTACCAACAACCCGAGCACCATCTCCAACACCATCGGCACGAAAACCATCACACAGCACGACACAACCACAGTTCACTGCTCACATCTCGTCAAAAGGGTACCTCATTCATCCTGATGACAAAGCAGAGCGAATATGCTGCTGATGTATACTTGACAGCCAACATGTATACACGAGAAAATACACTTTTAGCGACAGTTCAATATTATGTAGACCAAAATTTCGCACGCGAGCTTGGAAACGTCCTGATTGTATCTCGCTGGGTTTATTCATTTTTTATCCCACGCGACAAATGAGGGTAGAATTTTTTTCTTACATCGTTTAGTATGCTAATATTTTTAGCAAATTACTCTTTTTTATTTCCTCTATTTTTCTAGTGGTTTCATATCAGAAGTTATTCATCTTCCTTTTGTTTTATTATCGCAATAATAAAGAGCTTAAGATCAAGATGCTAGAAAAAATTGGTTCCATTCATTTGTTTCATCATGGAGAAACTTGGATTTATTACTCAATTAGTAAATCATCCTCATATAATTCTATGAACATGAATTGCCTATTGTTTAGTCTAAAAATAATCATTGATCAGAAAGAATTGGTTTGATAAAATGTTTTGATTGCACAATTTACTAGGTTCATCCTGATGAATTTTATAGTATCAATATTTCTTGAGTAAAAAGAAAATAATTTTCAGAATATTACTGATCCAAATAGCAGTCTGTTTCACGATTCACTTCACGTAACTACTGAACTGTGAAGATAAAAATTTGGCACCATATCCTAGTTGAAGATTTGAACTATGAACTCTAAGAGCTGCTTTTAAAGTACACTTCTGATTCTTCTAGAAGTTAAAAAAAATTTTTTGTTTTTCAAAACACTTTACTTTTCTTTTGAGTGGTTGAAAACAAATTTAATATTTCTCAGACTAATTTCTCAAAATTGCTTCACGATTAGAAAGAAACTTTGAAATTTGTTGCAAATTTTTATTTTTTCTTCCAGTTGCTGATAAATATTAAAATATAAACAATTAAGGAAGAAAGGATTATTCTTTGAATTTTAATTAATGAATTCATCTCTTATTCATTACATTTTCAATAAACGTCAATAATAAAATAGGTTAATACACTATTTCAGTCAGATTAAAAACAAAAGAATCAAATAATTAAAATAACGAAATCCAAGTTTGAATCTCAGAAATGTTCATCATCATACACAGTGTAAAACAAGTAGCATAAATTTGAATAAAAGAGTAGTGTACTTTTCTTCTTAATCTAAGCAAAAGCATCCAGCAACTCATTTTACATTTCTTTGATTCATCAACATCCAATTCATCGTGATAGCTATTTGCTCTAGTCTTCTCCAGTTCTATCCAACGGTGTCAGTACAGGATTTATTAATAGCTTTTGAGTGGTTCTAGACGTCTCTCTATGTTTATGTCGCCGGGAATACGATTGTCAAACACACAAGTATATTCGGATTAATATACCATTCAGTCTCGTAAATCTACACATCCATACCCCATTTGCAGCTGAATAGAAACCACTTTATCTCAAGTGAAGTCAAAATTTTTTCCAATCCAATCAAATCATTATCAACAACAATATTTATGTATCATCACAGTGAATATCGATTAAACATAAACTTCATATTAAATTTCATTTGATATTCATCATTGAAAGCTTCCATTAGCATCTATTATCAATACAAAAGCAACCAACATCTAGGGGGAATGTGATTTCCCTTCTTATTTCTTAAAATATCTATTTTTGTTATTTCATTTAATTTGCTAAGAGATTCAATTGGCATGAATGTAAACAAAGAACTTATCATTGATAAATTCCATTTTGTACATTAAGTATAAATGTCAAGTTTACAAGAATTCATGTGCTACATGAGTAAAAGTAAAGTGAAGTTGATAGATACATTCTTCAAGTTGATAATGTAATTCATGGGAAGATGTTTTGAATTTATGTAGAAGGTAGAATTATATTATGTGGAGAATTATTCAGTTCAGTATATTGTAAAGTTCAAACTTGGATAGCACATACAGTTGAAGGTACTTTCATATAGCCAGGAGCCAAACTAGCATTGTACAAATTAGAACACTGCGTGTGTGTAGTTTCATACTTTGTTTCTGGCGTCTTAGCACACATTGTCTGGCAGAGAAACCATATTTGGTTAGCATTATAACATTCTTTAAAAAAAATCTTAGTCTATCACCACCAATGTTCATGGTAGCATTGATTTTAGTTGGAATTTTGCTCTTTATACATCAATAAACTTCTCCAACAGCCACTTTGATTTTTCCTCTAATGGACAATCTATGTTATTCACCTAAATGAGATAAATATATACTGCTTTGATTCACTTCAGGGGGTTTAGGTCAATCAAACTCTTGAGATGATCAGGACGTTTCCGGTAACTCAATTCACTTAGCACATGAATAATCCTTTTTAAGCTTTCGCTACAATCGGAAGCTTGTTCAATCAATCGGAGTAATCAAATATTGCGCACGGCAAAATACGAAAAGAGCTTGCTGAATAAGCTTCAGTAGTTAGTATCAATAAATATGGAAGCCATAAAATTATATTCATCATAAGTTGACATTCTTAACAAGTACATGCATTCATTACATGCTTGTTAACTTTCTATAGACATGAATTTAATGTGTAAAGTCTAGTGAAAAAGGAACCTATTGGAGAAGAGAATTCGAGTAAAAGAAATAAATGAAATAAAAAAAAAAATAAGCTGGCGAAGGTTATCAACGTCAGAATGAGGCAGCTTGCATAATTCAAAGTTCATTAGCTATCAAGAGAACGCCAACGGCTTTCAGAATTCAAATACCGACAGGCCTCAGGCTCGACCTAATTTTAAATAGAAAGACTCAAAATACTGTTATACATATCCTTAGGGGTAGATTCTTGAATTTTTCGCACTATTGGAATTGAATCATTTTTTAATCTTCTTTTTTTGTGATAACTCCGAGGAAGATCATTATAGGAAAGATACATTTCCGGTACGATTACAATATTCCACGTGATAGAATATTTATTTGACTTGGAAATTTTTAAATTAACCAGTACAGTTTTTTTTTATTTCCAAATAATCTAGAGAATAAAAAAGAATTCAACTGAATTCCATTCGGTATCTGAACACGGACATTACTAGAGTCTCTAGAGTAGCTATCTGACCCACGGCAATATTTTTCATACTCGACAACTACGGTTTTGATAGATTTATTTTGGTGGAAAAAAAAATTCCAGAGAGCAAGAAGAAACAGTGAATGGATTTGAAAGATAAGATAATTTTCCATTGAGAATAGAAACAATTATTGTGACTCTGATTTAAATTAATGATTACTCTGAATGTAACACTAAAAATACGAAGACAAAAATGAATGAACCAAGAATAGAATTCTTTTTTTTAAAAAAAGGAAACAATATGAAGGATTGTTTTATTTTAATTACATTACTTTCGCACTGCAGAAGTACATTCTTGAGTGCTTTTATATAGAAAAAAATATTTTTCAGGTCAAAAAACCCTAAGAAAAATGTTCTTTCTCTTGAAAGTAATATTATTTTTTTTATAATAAAATTTTTATGATTAAAAATAAAAAATCTTCACAACAAAATGGTGTGTTAATGGAAAGCAAGAATAACAATCAATACTCAGCAGTGGCAAAAAAAAATCTTAACTTCTAAAAAGTATCAAAATGTTACAAGAAAACATCCTCACGTACTTGAAACAAAAAAAAAACGTTAATTCAACTGTTTACACAAAACTTGAGACACTTTTATTATACGGACCTCACTAACTTGAACCTTTGACAAATGCCTAAAAGACAAAAGTAGTGCAAACAATGTCCCCAAGTTTTAAAACTTATTTTTATCAATAGCTGCCTATCTCTTTGTTCTATTCCTTATCTTTCTTATCACCTTTTTGCTACTTCTACTATTCTTCTTCTACTTCTTTATCTTTTTTTCTGGATGAGACGTGGGCAAGGGCTGTTGGGTGTTACAGATGCGGATTTTTGCTGTGGATTGCGATCGCCTGGCGACACTACCAGCCTGACTAACCGATCGGCGATTCCTAACGACCTTAAGCAGAACATCAACCAGAACAATAACCACTACACGCCGCACCAACACCTCCGCACTCACCTTCGCGGTCCGTCCTATGTTTTGTTGTAACAAACAAAAAAAATTTTTCAATGTGTCGAAAAAATATTTCAATATTTCTTTTACATTTCTTTATTTTTATTATTATTATTACCAAATTAAATGTTTTTATATTTTATTTTCCACACTTTCTACACACACGTTACCAATTATTTATTCACACATTTATTTTCTTGATGTTGATTTGCTAAAAAAAAATATATTACACGAAAATGCACTTCAACTTTATCATATACCAATTTTATTTCTTTTTATTCATTTTAATTGACTTTACTTTTCAAAATTTAGCTTCACTACGTAACTTAAATAAAATTCATGACTCTAAATAATTATATATTGTTTATAATAATAGCAATTCTTAATAAATAAAAAAAAATTAAAAGACAAAATTATGGATTTCAATTGATGGAAAGTTCGTATTTGGAGCATAAAGTGCTTCTAGATTCATTTTTTTTTAAATTGACTTTACTTTTCAAAATTTAGCTTCACTAAGTAACTAAAATAAAACTATAGAGATTTCGTGTAGTAAAATTTTCCAGCAATTATTTTTTTCTTATATTATAAAATTTAATTTATTTCCCATTAAAAAATTACGTGTTTAAATGCAATATCAAAGTAATGTCACTTTTTTTCCTCATACAAGACTTCATAAAACTTTGTCTTATAAATGAAACTATAACATAATACCTTGTGCTTGAGTTTTATTTTATCTCAGTATAAACTAGTGCGTGTTCGTCATTCTAAAAGGTATAGACGACAATATTACCCGTGCTCTTAATACGATTTAATGTTCAGTAAAATAACGTGCAATTTAATGAACAATAAAAAATCCGAAGGAATTATTATTAATATAACACCAACACCTCAAAAAAAAAAAAAAAAACAATATGTTTTATCAAGACATTGAAAAATAATTCACGTTTTTTCCCAATTACAATATTTTTTTTTTTTTTTATTCACAAATAAAATCTTTCACCCACTTTTAATGACTCTAGAGTTTTATTAACATTCTAATTAATTAGTGAAAGGATAGACTGTGATACTATGAGAATTAATTTATTAGATTTAATGGATGTTACTGAGTTACTTTATACAAATTTTAAATTTCAGTTAGATAAAAATAACAAAATTATTTTGCTTGTAAAGCTGCAGCATGTGCACAGCATGGCATCGTAAAAGCTTATGCTTATTGAATATTCTATGGAAAGCAAAAGATTAAAAAAATTTTTTTAACAAGTTTTTAATGTAACTGAAGTACCAAATAAAACGTTAAAGTATTATTGACGTTTATTTTTAGATGATTTCCAGTAATTAAACTCAATAATTAAAGTGACAATCGCGTGGTCGTCGAGGGGAATTAATTATAAACTCGATACCCTCATGGTTATATAGGTAAAGAGATGAAAGCACAATTTAGATTCTACTCGACGTCCACGCAATCTAAGCGTCCAAAAGGTTACTTCGATCACGTCAATCTGACATTTATAAATTCATTATTAATGTCAGTGATATTGAATTTATTAATTAATATTTTTTTTAGAAATTTATCTATTTTTTTTAAATGAAGAAAATAAAATGCCATTATTTTCTTCATCATTTATCGAGTATTTACAATTTAAATAAAACCACTCTGCTTGTTCTTGTTTCAGGAACCTTGACTGTAAACGTGAGCGTGTTGTTATTGAGTTTGGCTTCACCTGACGAATCTAGTTTGGTAAATTGAAGCTCTATTTTCATATTTTGCTCAAGGGTTTATCAGGAGAATTAACAAACAATTTTTTATTTAAATTACCCAAGAAAAAAGAACATAATCATTTTTGTTTAATAAATTACTTAATAATAACAATAATTTTTTATGATAATTTCTTTATTTTTATTATAAAAATATTTTTGGACTTGAATTGGGCATACTATGGGCCTGAAAAATATATTTTTTTAACTTAAATTGGGTGCATTGTGAACCTCAAAAATAATTCGGGCTCAAATCAGTCCTCTTTTAATAATAATATTTTTTTGTAGAAATATGAAGTCGAATTTCTTCTGCAACAACAATGGTACGATCCACGTCTACGATACAGTAATAGATCGCGATATGAATTTTTAAATGCGATTCATCACCATAATGATATCTGGCTACCAGACACATATTTTATTATGCATGGCGACTTTAAGGATCCCTTGATTCCGGTCCATTTCGCCTTACGAATATACCGGAATGGTACCGTCAACTATCTGATGCGGTATTTAACTTTTATAAATATTATTTAATATTATAATAAATTTTTTTTTAATCTTCTTAACATCAATATTAAACTTCTTTCTTTCTTTTTTAACAACACAGGCGTCATCTTATACTTTCTTGTCAAGGTAGATTAAATATTTTTCCCTTCGATGATCCGCAGTGTTCATTCGCCATCGAAAGCAGTAAGTATTTAACAATTTAATAGTTAATTTCAATAGTTATCTAACACTCTAAGATTGAAGAAAGGATAGATAAAAAAAATATTGAGGACGTCATTATCTAAGAAATGTTCAATTTTAGTCAGGAATGATTTGAGATTTACGAAAAAGTTGAAAGTTTTATTCTACCGTTAAAATGAATATTGGAAATGCTATCAAATCGAAAATCGGTATTGGATGAAATCGAAAAACGATTATATTTTCCAGCTGGTCATACAGGTCATCTAATAAAAAAGTTCATTCAACCGAATACAAATATATACACATATATTCCTATGCTTGTCGCGTAAAAAAGTGAAGCAATACGTGAAAATGGGAATTTTCTAGTCAATAGAAAATTTAAATGACATTTTTTAAAATAAAGTTATAAACATTATATTTTATGAATGATTGAAAATATTACTAAATAAAAATAATAAAACAAACTCCATCAATTCAACCATAAATACTTCATTTAATAAAACATTTGATGACAAGGCATATATTTTTTATTTTTAATCCTTCACATGAAGAAATATACCCTCATGGTTTATATTCAGAAGGAAGCTCACATAAGTTCATATATTATTCATGAATTTATGTAATATTTTCTTTTTTATTTAGAAGTAAATAAGTAATCGTGTCATCAGTAGTATTCAGTTCACCATGTTAACGCCTTCCATTATCAAATTAAAATTTTTTTACTGTAGGATTTATATCCTTCACTTAAGAATTTATAACAAATATGTATCCTTTAGATCATGGTTGTAAAAAAGTTTCCTTTTATTATCCAAAGTTCTTCACTAAATAAAATAGTAAAAATTTTTAGTGTGTCACTTTGTGTAGTTTATTCTTTGCTACTTATTCTAAAAATAGGGACGAATAATTTATAAACAACTCTTAACTATTTTAATGTCACATTCACAGAGACAATAAAATCCAATTGGTTATTGATTGAGATTATTTTTAAATTTATTCCAAGAATTGACTATACTTTCAGGGAGAAGTAAAATTATAATGTCGTTAATTGTAGTAATTATTTTTTGCAAACCGTGTATTCAATGTAATGATACTAGTAGAATGAGGATATTTATTATCTTGATGACAAAAGCATATATTCCCATAGAGCAACCATCGATAAAATCTGAAAAATATGAGAAAATAAAATTGTTCTACTTTTTATCATCTTTATTTTTTACATCGTAAAAGCATCAAGTATAAAAGCTTGCTTTACGTCAAATCCATATATTATATAAACTTGTTTTGTTTATGTGCACATGTAGGTATCTATATATATTCAATACATTAAGGTTAAAATTCATTTTTTTTCAGTATCTTATGAACAAACAGCGATTACGTATGTTTGGAAGAATGATGAGGCAACATTACGAAAAAGCCCAAGTCTGACGACCTTAAATGCGTATCTTATCCGGAATCAGACAATCACATGTCCGATAAAAGCCAGCTGGCGCGGTAAGCTCAAGTTTATCCGGCCTTTAAAGCCTTTTAAAAAGCTTCAAATTATCATTTTTTTTTTTTGTTGTTTACCATTAAGATCATATACATATAAATATTTACCACATTTGTTTGTTTTTTTTTTTGTTTTCTACTTTATTATTTACGTGATCAGCATTTTCTTGTCAGCTAAAAGTATTGCCAGAAAATATTAAAGTGTATATTAAAGTAGTTAATCTGCATAGAATTTTATTTTTAACGATAATACGAGTAGTAGAGTACATGTTTGTGCTGATTTCTCGCACTCTGCACACATTTAACGTTTTAACAAAATAACCGTAGACAGAAAGGAGTAGAGGAAAAGAGAGAATGTGAAAGAAAGATAGAGAGAGGGAAAAGTTTGGATCAATAATACGGTCAGACTGAGTAATATTACGGAAAAACTTTTCAGAATATTTTCTAAGTGATGCAGATTTGAAATTATGAAAATCATAGTATTTATCATAATTATTTTTTTCAAATTAAATGCATTTCCATTCTTCATTCCCTTCTTTTTCTCTTTTTTTCTCCGACGATTTATTAGTAAGCATTAAATGGAGACAATTTGAATAATTATTCTGATTGTTGTTATTAAAATAATTATCTAAATAATAATAATGCTTATCTGATTGATTTCTGGCTGGATAATAAATGGTATAAATATAAATAAGATGGAAAAATATCAGCTAATTATTTCTGCATCAACTTGTGATCCTGCGTCAAATTGGTGTACACTGGCTAGTTGCTTATCGTTTGAAATGTAATATCAATACTGATGTGAATGCAGATAACGTCATAACAAATCTGTGCACGCGACTTGAAAGCTTGAGCATGCGTGCACATTATTTGCACGTAATTTAGAAATATAAGAATCTAAGAATAAAGAGAAAAAAAATACCTTGGGAAAAACCTAATTTCAAGTTGGTATTAACTTTTCATCACCTCATTGTATAAATTGGGTTAAAAATCAGCGTGATTTGGCAATTCTTAGTCATGTGTAAATATTTGATATCAAAATAAAATAGCGTTGATTTGAAAATAAAATTTATTTTAACGTTGATTTTTTTTTTTAACAAACAACATTATAACATGTCATGGTCATTGAGTAAAAAAATTATATTTTTATTTCATGAACAATTAATTATCAGTACAAAGAGCGACATTATTGCTAATTATTTTTTTATTTTAACTTTTAATTATGTTTGTGAATAAATTTTTTTTTATTATGCGCATTTTTGGTTTAGTTTAAATAAATAAAATAATGATAATAGAGAGCATTAACTATTTGTTTGTATTTTGCCACTTTTAAAATATTATTTCTGTTGAAAAAAAAACATACAAAATATGTCAACTTTTATGTTTGACAAATTTTGTATAAATTCAAGCAATACATAAATATTGTTAGAATTTTTATTACCGTTAGTTTTTAGAAGCTTTTGGAGGTTTTTCAACAATGTTATTTATCACTAAGGTGATGAAAAGCCGAACTTAAATTGTATAATTGTAAGCTGCATGATTAATTATTTAGTGAATTTTATCTAATCCTTATTTAGATGTTAGAAATTGCATTGGCAATCTTGGTTCCTGTCTCGCTTTTCAGAAAAAAATTTTTTATGTCAATAAAATTATTAATAAACATAGATTTTTTAAATTTAGACCATTATTATGGAAGATATGGAAGAGATTAGGTCACTTTAACTTATGACGATTAAAAAGAAAAGTCTATACAGTAAAGATAGCAGACGTGATAAAAAAAAAACTCGGTAGCAGATCGGTTGGCTGTTTTGTTGCAGCTGCCGGACAACCGTTTATCGACGACGAGGACGAGTACGACGAATTTGGCGACTCTAGGTGTTCACTGTGCCAGCGAAGGTTTGAAGAGCAAGGTAAACACTTTTTAGGAGTTAGAAATAACACTACAGAACAAAATCTGAACACTTGAATTAATCTCATAGAAGTAAATAACAAAAAAATGTAGAACAAATACTTGATAACAAATTTTTGTATTACAAGAGACAGGACCAAGTTTACCAAAATTTCCCAGCTTAAGAATAAACTCGTGGCTCTTTGTATCTATATGTAGCTTTAATGTCGCTTGCAAATAGACGAAATTGTCGTAACGATGTGATTAATGTTTTGCGGTGATAATTTTACGTAATTGGCATAAAAATGACTTAATTGAATATTTGAAGAATTCTTTGAATTCAACAGTTACTTCAAGGAATGAGGTTTAAGTAGAAATACCCAAAATGTAGTCAGACCACTAACTGTTCTGTGATGAAATTAGTAATGTTATATTTTACCATCCTTTTTTATTTTTTTTCCATTTTTTTTTCCTTTTTTTTTTCAACACGAATATAGGTAACTACAGCTGCCTGAAGGTGGATCTCATCTTCACTAGAGATCGTGCCTTTTATTTTACTACGGTCTTCATTCCTGGAATTATACTGGTCACAAGCTCATTCATTACATTTTGGCTTGAGTGGAATGCTGTGCCAGCAAGAGTCATGATTGGTATGTTATTTTGTTATATTTTAGGAAATTAAAATAAAGTACTGTTAGTTGATAACTTTTGTGAAGGAGTACTGAATAGTAATGACAGTCAATATTTAACTAACAGTGTTTGAAGTAGAGTGTGGAAATCTAAGCTTATGAATATGTAACATAATTTATGTCAAATCAAATATTAGATCTCAGTGTTAGAGAATAAAAATTCAAAGATTACTTTTACTGTGACTAATTAGGAAAGATTAAAAAGATCTAGGATTTATGGTTCATTTGCTTTAGGGATTCAATTAGCATTGAACCAGAAATTTTTCATATGTCAAATTGATTGAATAAATCATCATTTCTACTGTCTAGTAGTCTGATATTTATTGTTATGAATAAAATTATGAGCACACTGCAAATCCAAGTAAATTCGAAACACTGAAAGTGTTTAATTGTATTAGGATATGTACAAAATTTATTCATTACTTTATTTTTGATATATAATGTTCCTCAACACCTGTGCATGCATGGATCGTCTACATGTGTTCAAGTTTATAATGAGACTACGTCTGAGGCTAAGTTTGTATAATATTTGATTCCTGACAGGCACACGAGGTAGAACTATGCGGTCCAAACTTTTTTCGACTTCAATGTTATTATTATCAATTTGAATTTGAATTGATTATTTCAATAGTATGTCTATCTTACAATGAATTGTTTAAACTTGAAGTTAAATAAAAATATTTCAAACTCTATCAGAAGTAAAGATATTTAAATTGATAGAATACAGTCAAATACACTGTGCTATTACTTTAGGATCATTTCTGGACGATTCGTTGTGAATTTTTTTTTCAAGGTCTAGAAGTGTGCTAGGGTATTTCATCTTCATTGCTCAAAGTAGAATACTGTTTAGATACATGTCTGTCAGAGATTAAAAAATACATTATTGAACGATACCATGGCCAAGAATCAAATTATTTTTGAATCATGAATATCACTTTTCTACGATGCTTATTATTAAACACTTGGATTTGCAGTTCAAACTTGTTCAGTTCCATTTTCTCATCATCATTGAGCTTTTTATTCAAGGAACAAATAATTTTAGGTGTCACAACAATGCTCAACTTTTTCACAACATCAAACGGTTTTCGATCAACACTTCCCGTGGTGTCAAATTTGACTGCCATGAACGTGTGGGATGGTGTATGCATGTGTTTCATCTATGCCAGCCTTCTGGAGTTCGTGTGCGTCAACTACGTTGGCCGGAAACGGCCACTTCACAACGTCGTATATCGACCAGGCGAAAATCCCGTTACCCAGGTACTTGTAAACCTATTGTTTCAATATTTCTCTCAATAATTTGATCTTACTTATTAATTACAACAAAAAAAAGAAAAATACTCGATATGAAAATTGATTAAAAAATGCAGAGGCGCCAAAGATAGAAATTAGAAGATTGAAAAAAAAAAATATTTTAATCTAGATAAATAAACTGATTGGTAAATTCATTTCTCATATCCACGATTCATCTGTTATGTGCCCCAAAAACCCGTCATCAATGCAGCCAACGTGATAAAGCGGACGGATATCAATTGATTGAATAGGAGAAAAAAAAAAAGGAAATAGAAAGAGCCAAGACAATGTCCTTTATCACGTTGATGCAACCCCAATCTATGCCGCGCACTTTTTTGTGACTTTGTTGGCGTGATAATTGCACAAATCACTATATTATTAAATTGTTATCTCCTTTTATTACATTATTTGTCTTTAAAGAGAGTAAAAAAATAAATTATTGCAAAAAAGTTTTTTATATAAATACGACTTTGCTGCATCAGAGAATTTTGGCATCGCATTTCAAGTACTAGGTATATTGTTACCTTGATTATCTTAACATACAAAAGATTATTATTATTATTTTTATTAATTATCATTATTATAACGTAATTTGATTAATTATTTCCAATGACCTTTATTATTGTTAATAATGCATCGAAATTTAGTGATTTACTGCAAAAATTCTTACGTTTACACTAATCTATTTGATTTAATAATTTTTTTTATTTATGGATATGATAAAAATAGTCTAAAATGATCCTAATATTATCCTTGACTCTCCTAATAACCCTTTAGGATCGAGTCCACGAGACGCGAATTATTTGAAGCAATTTTTATTTATGATTGTTGATAATGTTGAGTTGACATATTAATGCATATACATGAATAAGTGAAACATGAAATAAAAATAAAATTCATTTAATTTAGACAATTAGATAAAAATAAATTTATATAACTATGGGCTGCAGACTGCATGTCTCTAAACTATTTTTCTATTTCTATCTCTTTTTCTCCTTTCAAAAAACACTATCCTTTTATAATTTTATTTTACAAAATGATCCTCGTTCAATTCCGAGTCTTGAAATAATTATTTTATTTAACAAAAAATCAGCAAATTTATATTATAAAAATATTATTCTTTTATTTAGATAACCGCTATGAAATAATAAAAATCGTGTTTATGTCGCATGAAATTTCTTTAATCATTACAAATTATAATAAATAGGCAAATGAATGCCCCTTCTAAATAATTTTTGATTAAAAATTTTCATTATAATTAAAATATTAAAACAATTAATACAAAGCTATTCATTTTAATTTGAATTGTGGAATTTTTTATTTAAAAAAAAAAAACAAAAAAAGAAAGAAAAGTTATAGAAACTTTTTAAGAATTTTTCAAAATTTGATAATTATTTGGTTGGTGGAATGTTGCGGTGAGTAAGTCTCTTTGTTTGGTGTCTGTGATGTTGCAGCGGCTACCAGCGGTGCTCAGCAGGATAGGGATTATATTGGCCAGCCCCTTGGTAAGATCCCCCTTTGACTTTGGTATCACTTGAAGCTCTTGTAACTAATTGAAATCAATTCATGTTTAATACTTCGGAACAATCGTTATCTGGTTTACTACCTGTCAATTGTTGGTTACGAGATGTTGCTAGTGAAACCAAATATGTATTTAAACCATGAGGCTTTCTTTTTTTTGTATATTAATATGCGTTAATTATTTAAATCATTTTTTTTACAATAAGAAAAAAAAAAACAATTTCTATCTGCACAGCATGATAATACCTTGCTTCCTTCAGCTTTTGTTCAACTATATTTCTTACGACTATTTTTCTCAATAATTTATTCTTTTATTTACTTCAACTTTTAACAATTTATAATAATTTTATTTTTATCTCGTGGATTCTTTAAATATTATAATTAATTCGAATAAAAAACAAAATTTGAGAATCCACCAGCCCAAAAGAAATATTGGAAAAATTTTTTGAAAACACAAAAATAAAATCCTGCACGATTTTTCCAATTTTTTATTCATTGTTTAATTTATGGTATTAGTTATTTACTATATTCACGCATTATTCAAGAATATCAGCTTGTAAAAATTAGAATCGCTTTGAATAATGAAAATGTTAAAGTTTCTTTTATTTATTACATAGTTGAAGAATTTTTATTATATTTTTTGTCTCGCTAGGACTCGATTACACATTATATACCTTCCTTTTTTATGTTATTAAATGAGAGTATTTAAAGAAATATTGCCATTTATTAAATGAGCATGTGCTAGTTTGTAATGAAATTAAAATAATCTAAAGTATCTTTATTTTTAAATTATTTTTATTGTATAAATTATATAAAATAGTCGCTTAGATTTGATTTTTTTTATTTATATTTACGCACTGCTTCCATATCACAAATCCAAATCATTAATTAAAAAAAAAAAAATTCAAATAATTTTTAATTTTATTAAAAAAAAAAATAATTAAAACAAAAAAAAAATTACGAAAATTTTCCTCTAAATTTAACGACAAATATGGCGCCCGTTGTGTGGATAACGATTAAAATGCAGTACAAATTGGTTTAAGACCCACTTAATTATTCAATGGAAAATTATTTTGTTTCACTTTATTTTTATGAAAAAAAAAAAAATTTCTAAATACCTGAAGATAAAATGAAAATGTAGGTAATTTTGCAGCATGTATTTAAAGAAGCCGAAGCATGAAAATAAAGAATTCACTTTTTCATAAACTTTAGTGTCTGGTAAAGAGCAAAAATAAGTGAAAATGTAAGAAAAAAATTATTCAAACCATAAATACAGTGAGTAAGGAAGAAGTGAATTATTTAAAAAAATTTTTTAAAAAAGTAATAAAAAACATAAACAAGAAACAAAAAAATAGATATTGTCTGCTACCCAAACCCTGTCGTAGGGTGAAAAGAAACGAGAGGGTGGCAATACAACTGGTGGTGGTAATGGTCCGAATGAAATCATCACCTGCACAAATTGTGGTCCTAATCCATGTACACACACCGCAACTAATGGTTGTGCTGCTGAGGTATGTAATAAAAACTTATGATCTAATTAAAAAAAAATTTTTTCATTGGCATGGATGATTTTTGACTGTCTGATTACCTAAAGTCAATCAATAATAATTCATTAAATCTATTAGAATGTAAATATAAATTCTTGCTAAAGTAGTTTAATAGTTATAGTGAATAAAACGATTAAGTAGTTTAATTTAAAGAGAATGGCATTACTTGAGAAACTTTTCCTCAAGAAGGAAAGCATTTTCTTTCAAAATAAAAAGAATAAAAGATAAAAACGGGAAGCCCTTTTGTAGTTTTACTTGGTATTAAATTCATCTGAACCTTTTTTTACTTTGAAAAGTGGGTTTTCTAATAATAGAAACCTTGAAATAGAAATAAAAAAATTCATAAAAGCCATTTTAGAATTTTTCTCTTTAAAATGTTGAATTTTTTTTTTATACCTAATGCATTGTAAATATGTAGTAGTTTGTTTCTTTGATAGAAAAAAATTTAGTATCGTTATGTGTGTAGTGCATGCGTGTGATGACCCTATAATGACCCTCAGTAGTGTTGCTTTGTTCAGGTAAGGAAAAAAGAGCCGCCACATCCCATTCGAGTAGCAAAAACCATCGACGTAATAGCAAGAATAACATTCCCAGTCGCTTACTTCGTCTTTCTCACCTTCTTCTTCATCCACTACAAAGGAGTTTCGCCAGATGAAGATGTGTGATTTCACCAATACTAGTATAAACATAAAATAAAAGTATCAACTATCTCATAAGGAACTAATTTTTGTGCATTGTTGTATAATAAATCCATTGAAGGTAATCGTTACTACAAACAGAAAATTGAAAGAAAAAAAAAATCAGCTTCATCATTTAAGTATGGAAACTTATATAGCAGGATAAATGGAGGTTTATTTATGATTCAATTAATAATAATCTTTGTGAAGTGTGGGTACCATTTAAATGGACAAGAACTAATGAATAATAAAAGCTGATGAAAATGTAAAGATTATGAAAGTAATAATATGATCAATAAGTGCTTTTTGGGAGTGTAAAATATTAATTGCCATGTAAAAGAGTTAGAGAAAGAGATAATTTAATAAAAATAATGGAATATGATTTAGAGGAAAACTAAATAAATAAATAATAAATAATTTACTAGAGTATGAGTATAATAATAATTAAACTAAATAATTAAATCACGAAAAAAGAAATTAAAAATAATTCATTGTTGATTGCTATGCTCAGTTATAAATTTTACCATATTGAGATCTACTAAAAAGATAAGATAATCAACTATCCAACTATAATCAATGTTATTGCCATTTTTGATTAATTAACTTATCGTAATATGGAAATAAAAGCGCATACACAAGGCGTAACATGTAGACGAAAATTATATCAACATAAGCTTGTGCTTATTAAATAAACAAAAAACGAAGCAATATTGTCAAAGTGGAAACGATTAATTTTCACAAACAGTCAACAATTTTTTGTAGTTTTTTTAAAGATGTTTTATCAAAATTAAAATATTCATTTACATATCCATGTATATTTTTTATAGTTGATTAGTATAAGTTATTATTATAAGTTGATTAGTTTGTGAAAAAAAAGCAAAGAAATCGAGATTTAAGAATACTTAAAGTTAGAAGCCATACTTGAAAGGTAATAAGAAAAAATTGGGTAGATTTTCATAAAAATTTGCTTTATAATGTTATATCAATGCTTTGTATTCATTTTTATTATTAAATACAATCAAATAATGAAGAAAAAAATCATAAAATTGATATTAATAATTATTATTAACAAATAATATCATTTGTATCTTTAATTTACTTCGTATTTATTATTGAATGAATTTTATTCCTAAAAGAAAAATATAATCAATATATTTCTATTTTTTTATACCCGGTTTTTTCTTATTAATTAAATAAACTCAAGTAACTTGAAAGAAGAAAAAAAATGAATAAGGAGAAATGTAAGAATTACTAATCACTGCGTACCACTTATATCTATATACACTTTCAGAGATATCTCATCTGAAACTGACTGCCAAAAAAACTTCAGTAGATGAGACGCACTTTTTTACGTATTATTACTACTACAACTATTTAAATATACAAAAAGAAAAATTATTATTCAATGATATAGATCAATAAAAGTTTCGAGCACACTCGATTAATTCACCCAATTACTCTCACAACAAATATCAACCATTCTTCTTAAAAATTTTTATTACCTTTACATTAAATTAAATTTATCAGTGTTATCTATTTTCATTCAATTTTTAAATCCAAATTGATTATATTATTGGGGCATAAAGTAATCGAATGCTCGAGATGATCCGCTTTGCGATAATCGCATCTTAATGTAATATCGCCAACTTTATATATAATATGCAAAAAAAGTAGATTTTTCACACATTTTTTTATTATATCAATAAAAATTCAATTATATTATCTATTTTATTGACAGTAATCTTGAAAATATGGATCAGTTGATCCAATATCTAATTTTATTATCAAATTTCCATATTTTTCTTATATGAACAATTTTTCTCAATTATTACCAGTAATATTTTTATAACAATATTTTTTTCAAAATCAAATATCAATTGCAATCAAACTATTTATTAAATTTATTTATTTATTTATTTATTGTTTTAATGCACCGAAATAATTCTAGATTAATTTAGAAAAATAACGATAAAAATATAGACATTATTATGGAATAAAAACCAACAAATTGTGCAGTGAAGTTTGAATCGAACATACATTTACACACACAGTTTTTTCCAAAAAATAAAAACGAGAAGATACGTCTACTTGGTATAAATTAAGCCAAAAATTAGTTAACAAAAAAAAAACGAGATGATTTATTTACGTAAAATTATTAAGAAGTAAATTAAAAAGTTATGTTGTAATTAAATAATTTCTGTTTGGTTAAAGAACTAAGGGGTAGAAGAATTAAGGAAGATTGGTAATGAGCATAAAACGTATACCAAAAAATGATTTAAAGGAATGAGTGCTAAAAATAGACCAAAGAAATGTACTGTAGGTTAAAGGGGATAATGTTAATGCAGAAGAAGTGATATACAATTTATATAAATGATTTTTATTATTATTTAAAAATTGTATAAAAATGAATATTATAGAAAAGATAAGATGAATGAATTGAAAATTAATGTAATCAATTCATTTAATGCATAGAAATTTTTTACTGATTTTTGTTTAATTTACTTTACTTTATGTAGATTAATGCAGTGCACTTTATAGAAATGAAAAATCCTGTATATTCTTCACGAAAAGATAAGAGTAATTATAATAAGCACAATTAATAACGCCAAAGAATAAATAGACGTCAAGAATAAATTATAAATAAATACCACCAATAAAAATATAATGAATAAATAATGATAATATTAAAGTTATTGAATTATTTACACTGTTATTAAACCAAAATCATAGAGATTATGGAATTATAATAACTCACTATTGCAAGAAAACACAACGAATACCGCCGATAAATGACGAAATATAACTAATTTTCAATAACATCAGTGAATAATTATTAATAGTAAATAACATAAATTATTTAAATGTTTATAATTATTCTACTGATAATTTTTGATTAAAACATAAAATATTAACAAGCAATTGTACTTCACACTTTGTATACCTCATGTGCTGTCGAGTTGAAAAATTTTTTCCTTAGATTCTACATTAATGATTAAAATTAAAAAAAAAATTAGGATAATCTTAATAAATAATTATATAAATATACATATATAAATACATTATTGATAATTGTTATATTTATTATTTAAGCAACAAAGTATTTTATGCTCCACGGACCAAAAATAATCGATAAAAATAAATTATTTAACGAAAAAAAATGCTAATATAATGTCATTTGAATGCAATGTAATATTAATTGATCATCAATTATTTTCTTTATAGCTGTTTTTTCTATCTTATAAAAAAATTGCACTATTCTATTGTTGTATTATATAGAAGTGTTGTAATTTTTAACATAATTATGTTTTGTTATCTCTGCTGTGCAGTTGAATGTTTGAGATATTATAATAAAATGAAGAGATTTTAATGTAAATATATATTATGAATATAAAATATAAAAAATCAGCTATTTGAAGAACAATATGGGTAGATATATAAATTAATTTTACAAATTTCTAGCAAAGCCTGTGATGTTTACGCCAATCTATATTTTTGCGCTGAAAATTCAAACAAAAAATAAATTTAAAAAACCAAAAAAAAAAAATAAATTATTATGAGCTATAAAAGAAATTATTTATTCTTTCTCTTTCTCTAAATTCAATTTCTCTTGCGCATTTGAAGTTTTGCGATTAATGCTTTGCAATATGACGACACAATTATATAAACATTGTATTGTAAATTTAATTATCAATTGGTATCTATTGATAATGTTGAATATTTATAGAAAATGAATTAACTTAAGTTATATAAACACAATGATTATTTAATTTTATGATAAACACTAAATTGTATACCATGTGACGGATTTTCTCGACCACATAAAAATAAATAAAAAATACTTATGCAAACTTATTTATACTATTGTATAATTTCTAACTTGTAAGTTATAAATTTAATTATTAAATACATTAATTAAACAAATAAAATAAAAGTACACATTTAAATGTAATAAATATAATAATAAATAGTTCATTATTATTGTATGAATTATTGATTCTCATTTTTCTTGGCTGTGTTTGTAATTGTACAATGATTATAATTATTCATCATTAAATTAATTAATCAACTTATTATTGGTTTTATTTTTATGATCATACAATCTTAAAAAGCATTAAAAGTATTCCATAAAAAAATATTTATCGTAGCCATTAAAACTCCATCTTCATTTATATCATGATGAATAAAAAATTCAATAAAATTATTATTAAAGATTATTTATTTGTTTTTAAGAGTCTCAACGAGACTTAAAAGTCTGCATACAGTTATCTACTTACTCTCAGAATATGATCTAAAAATTTTTTTACTTGTATTGATGCGCCATCTTAGTCTCCAACCCAGCAACCATCACCAACCCTCATTGCTGGTTGATCAACCAGACTACTCCTTCATCATCTCTCGAGCTCCAACCACCCCTAACTGACCTGAAAGCAGTAAAGCCAAAAGCTCACTTACCATCAGCATCACAAAAGTATCAAGGTCTCACCAAACTCGAGTTATATCACTGATTTAATTTATTAAGTCGATTATCACAGCATTGTCATCTATCACTAATATGATGCTCATCCATCAAATTTAGCCACTAAATTCACGCAATTAATTTATGAGTTAACTCCCATAATACCTCATAAATATATCCAACTATAAAAACTTCATCTGAATAATTGTAATAAAAATTAGTTTCATTACTCATAACCCATTTCACTCTGCGGATTACGGATATTACTTTCGAAGGAACATATTGTTAGCAAGTTTTTGAACAAAAAAACTCATTAAACGGGTAGAACATTGAATGCAGAAAATTGCAAGAGAGTCTAATACACAAGAATGTTTGTATTTATAGACATTAAAAATACCGCGTGTTGCATGTAATAACGTGATACTTTTTTAAGTGTGCAAGGCCAACTGTCGAGCAAATCGTCAAAGGTCATCGATTATATATGATCTATACGTTACCGTACAAACACATTGTGCTCTGTCAAAGCCTTCCTATTATTACTATATTTACATTAGAAAAAAAAATATATACTTATTCAATACAATGCCATAAGACAATTAATTGCTGACAATATTATCTAACATTCTACCATCTATCATCAAATCATGGAGACATTTTGTTTGACATGGAACACCACCAATTGACTTGATTCCTACAAAAGAATTGTTATTTTAAATTGAAAGCAAAACATTATGTAAAGTATTATTACGTGAGAGAATCTATAAATCCAATTGACTAGAAAAATATATGATATGTATTGAACTGTGCACACGTATGACTTTAATACTAGGGTACTTAAGTATTCATCAATGAAAAGTGTTAAGTTCAGCTTATACTTGCGTGATGGGTCGCATTCGTAATGGCTACAATAAAGCGATAAATAAATCAATTCTCGTTAATATTGACATTTTAGACATGTATCTAACTGTAAACATCAACAGAAAATTATAAAAATAACTAATTTTTCTAGAAAAAAAAATTTATCATAATAAAGAAAGAATATTTTGTTATCTCTTTAAACACTAATTTAATGTGTCATTATTGAGGAATATCAAATAAGAAACAGCTGAAGTTGTTTTTAATTATTTAAGTAAAGCTCAAATGAGAATTTACTATTCATCTTAATGAAGCTCATGAACTCCAACATTCTATTTAAAGACTGACATAACTAAATAATAAAAGTGTCTTTAATCACATGAAGAGTGAATGTATGGTTTATTGGAGTAATTCCAGTCTTATCAACAAATTGTATTGAATTGAAAGAATGTCGTGAACAGAAGTGAAGGTGGCAGAGGGAAGAGTACAAGCGGGGGTGCAGCTTTTTGGCCTCTTGTCTCTCTTGTGAGCGGGGGTTGAAAATTTAACGCTCGTCGCGCCACTCTCGGTTGCTCGCGGGAGCTTCGCAAGTCTCCATGTGGGCAGTGTGCCCTGATCCGCGGTACTAGTTGATGTTCAACCCCCCTTTGCGAGATACCGTAGCAATTTGTATTTTGTCTTTCTTCCTCTTCTTTCATTCACTATTACTTCGGTCGACAGGATACTTTTAATAAACGAGTGTGCGTAGACGCGTGTGATGATTCAAAACATTGCGTGTGCTTCATGAAGAATGTTTGTGAATATCCAGCGATTTTTCAATGATAATCGGTAATTATTTATCGTTAAATTATCCTGAAAAATATTTTATTTATATTATTTACATTTTATTTTATTCAATATTCATTTGCTTCATTGTTTCTTACCTTTTTTCTATTTATTTTGTTTATTTTGTTAATAAATTAATTAAGTGGACTTTAATTAATTATTATTTCAAGTCACATGGTCAATGATTTTGTACATATTTACTTAGAAGTATCTTAAATGACAATTGTATAATTACTAAAGGAGACTTTGTTGAATGTTATCAGACAAAATAACTTTGTTCTTTTCTGCTTTTTCCTTCATTTCCGGATTTTCTTGTTACGTTTAATGCTCGTAGAGAATGAACTTTGGTGTGAGCTAAATGATCATTGAAACTTAGCGACATGATCTTTTATACCTTAAAAAGACACGAATGATATTACTCATTGTTTTTATCTAAGTAATTGAAAAAAATAATGATATAAATGACAGCTTATAGTTTAATTCAACATTCTTGTGCAAATGAACAAGGTATACATGTATATATAGATGAATTTACAGTAGAGTAATTATCACGAATACTTATTCACTGAGTTTGATATGCTTGGAGCTTAGTTTAATATTTACAGAGAGTGCAAATGGTCTTTCTATCACTTTCTAGGCCATCTGCTCGTGTCATTTTCTCTTCTTCTGCTTTTTTGACACTCTTTTATAATTTACCATATTTACATTTGACATGGATCGATGTTACCACTTATTTCACATTCACATCTCGTTTTATATTTTAATGGAATTCGAGTTTTTTTTTTTTTAGTTTGAAGTCTTATTTGTTTTGAAGTGAATAATATATTCAAAAACAACAAAAAAATAATAATTTGTTTTTTATTTTTTAATGTTTGTAATTTTTAACGATAACAAAGTTCAAAGATTGCTGTTGATGACATTTGTAAAACTTTTAACAAGTTGTTAGATGAGAGCGGCAATTATTTTAATTAGTTTCCTTCCAAGCTTTAGGTGACCATTTTTTTTTTTTTGACGTAAATCATAGCCATCTGCATATTTCTCGTACACTCATTTTGCCATTTTCTCTGGAGATGATTGTTTGAGAAAATTGAATCTCTTGAGTCGTATTAGTGACGTCGCAAATTCTGTCTATTGAATTCCTATTTTTTTATCTTTCCTATTTTCATATTGAATTGAGGTCAAATTCAAAGGAATATTTTCTATGCACCTCATTATAACTAAATCTTTTAAGATTTCAAAAGATGCACATCAAATAATGATTAGTATTTACGAAATAACTTTCTTGTTCATTTTAAAAAGCTATTTATTTTATTAAACTTCACCATCAATACTTTTATTGACTTGTGAATGAATAATCATTCTAGACTTTAAATTAAATAGTCATTATTTTATTATGAAATGTGATTAAATTTGTGCTAAATTGTTATTCTTTTAACCTTTTATTTAAGAGAGAAATTAATTAAAGTCACTATTACATCCTATGAATAATTTGAGTAATTATTAGACTATCAAAGCATTATATAATAAGATATAAATCAACTCAATCAATTTTCCAATGTTTGAAAATGGAATCATACTCAATTTTTTATTTTCACTCTTGAATATTCCACTTCAATTCTTCAATTCTCTCAAATATTGATGATTGAAAAAAAATATCTCATTAATGTATGAGTAAATGAATACTATTGACATTTGTTATTGAGTTATTTTAAATCTAGCACAAAAACGTTGACCATGTTTTTCAATAATTTGGTTATTAATTTTTACAATAGTTGAAAGTAATGTCGATAAAATGAAAATAATCGTTTTATCAACAAATTGAAGACACAGTTTAATAAAAGAAAACAAAAAAAAAGAAACAATTGTTCTAAATGTTGATAATTGATATTTGAAGAAATCTTCAAAGATGTTGAAACGATCGAAGCTTATTCTGGATGGTGGACGTGCTGGATCCTTAGCACGGATCCGTCGTCTTGCATGATCTTCCAAGAAAGTGACAGGCAAAGTGGCTGGTGGATTCCAAGACATGTTGAACGTAATGGCGGCTGTGACGACAAGTTTACCAGGTCAAATAGAATCAGAAAATTCAGCAACGCCAAGTAGTACTGCTTCATCAACAACAGGAAGTGATAACAATGTCAGCACTGCTGTACCAGCAGGCAATCCAACTGTTGAGAATCTTCCAGACAATGTTAATATCTTCGTTGTGGTGATGAAAGGTATTGTGATGGGTAGTATCATAACCACAGCGGTTCTAGGAAATGCACTTGTGATCGCTAGTGTCCGGAAACACAAGAGACTTCGGGTCGTGACAAATTGCTACGTTGTGAGTCTAGCAGCTGCAGATTTGTTAGTTGCCATGTGTGCTATGACCTTCAATGCATCAGTGGAGTTATCTGGAGGCAGGTGGCTTTTCGGTAGATTTATGTGTGATGTTTGGAATTCTCTAGACGTTTACTTCTCAACTGCCTCAATCCTTCATCTCTGTTGTATAAGCGTCGACAGATATTACGCTATTGTCAGTCCGTTGGAGTATACGGTCATCATGAAACAAAGCACCGTCGGATGTCTTCTTGGTGGAGCTTGGATTCTACCAGCACTTATCAGCTTTATGCCGATATTTATGGGATGGTACACCACCAATGAACATTTAGACAACATGGCCAAAAATCCAGAGGTATTCTTCTTATCCTCCTGAAAAGAGAAATTTTATTCTTAGTATTATGGTTATTTCAGAAGTCATTTTTAGCATACTTTCCAACTATTAAAAATAATTCTCCTCTCTTGTTAGCTTAACTTTAACAGTTGGCTTAATTTCATTAATTTCCTATTGAATTTCGTATTTTATATTTGAGTGAATAAATTTGAAAATCACATTTTATAAAATTGTCACTCTTCAACGTCTCTTACAGGTGATTTAAAATATTTTTCTACTGAATTATATCATTCATTTTTATATTTAAATTGACAAATTTCAATGAAATAAATGAAATATTAGAAGAAATTCATTACACAAAAATTTCTTTGAATTAAAAATAGATGATATAATGTCATAATTTAATGTACATCACACTAGACTTTTGTTTATATGAAAGTAATACAAAAGTTTGAGTAGTTAAAGCACAGGAAAAAAAACCCAACGTTATGACAATTGAAAATTCTTACTTCTCCAGTTCCTGTGGATATATTAAAGTGCATAGTCTACTATTAGAAAGAGCTTGGAAATCTTCTTTTTTTATAACCTTAAGAAACGTTTTATCTATAAAAAAATATTAGCTCATGATTGTAATAATTTTTCTCTCCTTCCATTTCACTTTATTATCCTGATAGGCCATTATAAAAGTAACCAATCAAATAAAAGCAAGAAATTGAATTTTTTCTTATTAATAATTTTTTTTAATAGCAAATAATAACTTTGGAATTTATTTAATCTTATTAATTAATGGCAATTATTGTCTAATCATTTTTTATATCTTATCGTAAATGACTTAACGAACAAATGATCTTTTAACAACCCCTGATATCAAAAAGATCTTCTTTCTTTTCATTCTGAATAGTCCCATAACTTCTATGCTAATAATGCTAGGGGGTTGATCGAGGGCTCATTTGGAAGATCTCGACGAGAGGAAAAAAGTCGATATAGTTAAATTCATAATGGTAACATAATTCATGCAAAAATTGAAGCAAGTTCCGGTTTTACCCCATTTTAGGAGTGAAATAATTAATTTTTTATATGTTTGACCTGATTCCGCATATCTACACATCAAGACGAAGAGAATGAGTGGTCGATCATCAAAATCGGACAACTTTGATTTTTCGACCCAAAAAAATGGCAAGTGGTACCCCTTTCCATTTTTTTAGGCCAAAAAATAAAAGTACTCCGATTTTCAAGTTTGACCACTCATTCTCTTCCTCTTAATGTGTAGAAATGCGGAATCCGGGCATCGGTCAAGAAAATTCACTTTAACACCCTTAAAAACGGGTTGCACTAAATACAAATTACGAATTATCATCCCCTTGACTTTAAACCCCTATATCTCGTGAAAAAAAGGTCTAATAACTGTTTTTAGGGACGTTTTAGAAAGATGAAAATCTGAGCTATCTAACAATATCCACAGATTTAATAAAAAAAATTTCGTTCACCCTTAAAATCGCTAAAATATAAAAAAAAATCACATTTTTTTAGGAGTTTGCTAACTATTTTGGCCATTTTAAGGGTGAAATCAATTTTTTCAACATTTTTTATGGATACGTATCTTTAGCTTACATTCTGAAGTTTCTAAATACATCCTTAAAATCATCATTCGATAAGTAGTATGAGAGTTAGAGAGGTACAAAGTCGGAGTAAGGGCCAAAAAATCATCTACTTTCGACTTTGTACCTCTCTAACTCTCATACAACTTATCGAATGATGATTTTAAGGATGTATTTAGAAACTTCAGAATGTAAGCTAAAGATACGTATCCATAAAAAATGTTGAAAAAATTGATTTCACCCTTAAAATGGCCAAAATAGTTAGCAAACTCCTAAAAAAATGTGATTTTTTTTTATATTTTAGCGATTTTAAGGGTGAACGAAATTTTTTTTATTAAATCTGTGGATATTGTTAGATAGCTCAGATTTTCATCTTTCTAAAACGTCCCTAAAAACAGTTATTAGACCTTTTTTTCACGAGATATAGGGGTTTAAAGTCAAGGGGATGATAATTCGTAATTTGTATTTAGTGCAACCCGTTTTTAAGGGTGTTAAAGTGAATTTTCTTGACCGGTGCCCGGATTCCGCATTTCTACACATTAAGAGGAAGAGAATGAGTGGTCAAACTTGAAAATCGGAGTACTTTTATTTTTTGGCCTAAAAAAATGGAAAGGGGTACCACTTGCCATTTTTTTGGGTCGAAAAATCAAAGTTGTCCGATTTTGATGATCGACCACTCATTCTCTTCGTCTTGATGTGTAGATATGCGGAATCAGGTCAAACATATAAAAAATTAATTATTTCACTCCTAAAATGGGGTAAAACCGGAACTTGCTTCAATTTTTGCATGAATTATGTTACCATTATGAATTTAACTATATCGACTTTTTTCCTCTCGTCGAGATCTTCCAAATGAGCCCTCGATCAACCCCCTAGCATTATTAGCATAGAAGTTACACACTTTTTTTGTCTCACAGTTTTTCGCTAATATATCATTATTTCATTAATTTCATTATTTATATTTTTTTTTTGCAAGTAGAAAACATTTGGAGGAGAGAGGAAAAATCTAAAAAAAAAGAATTTCGTTCCCCAACCATTCCCTATACTCCCATGAGGGGAACGAAATTATATACGGATGATCTATTTCTTTCCTTTATTCCAATAAATGTTTATCCATTAATCATAAATATTTATTATTTTTTCTTAAGCCACAAATCTTGACAGTTAGGGTGCCAATGTGTAATAGAGAAGACAATATTTGCAAAAATAATTTGTCATAATCATTTATAAATAAGTTGTGTGAAACTCGTTTCATTAAAGAAGTTAAATATGACATTTCCTCCCCATAACTATCTTTCAATTTTGCAATTCTGATTATTTATGCTTTTAATAAAGAAGAAAATATGTCATATTTAGACACCAAATTCTAGGAACAGTATCACAACATTAGCTTTGTTTAGGGTGAATAACATTATCAAGACTATTTTGGTATGAATGAAAAGAAAAATATTTTAATTTTATTTTACAATAATTATTTCTTAGAACTATAAAGATTATCTGACTCAAATATCTTATTTATGTCATCCTTCTTAGATATATAATTGCAAAGAAGCATCTTTCTTCTAATGGAGATGTAAAGATATAACAAATGAAGAAATCACTTTGATAAAATGACAAATAATCATCATAAACGAGACGCAAATAACTTTCCTTTGCACAGAGTATTAAAATAGATTATTTGAAAGTTGCAAAGGATGATCACCATAAAGAGACATCTACTTTTATTGTAATATCTTATCATAGAAGGAAATTATTCTGCATCTGCTGAAGTAACCAACTCTTGAGAAAAATAATTTCTTATCTTTATGTCAACTTACTTGTAGAAATGGCTATTAACATAATCTTCTTTTTCAGCTTTGTGCATTTGTAGTTAATCGACCATATTCAATAATTAGTTCCTGTGTGTCTTTTTGGATTCCTGGGATAGTCATGATCATCATGTATTGTCGGATCTATAAAGAGGCAGTACGACAAAGAAAAGCACTCAGTAGGACCTCCAGTAACATTGTGCTCAATAGTGTGCATCACCATCGGACATCAACACGACATCATCGTCATCATCAGCAACTGTTGCTCCAGGCGGCTGCTGATACTGGTGAGCTTGCTCTCCATACAGCTCAGTTCAAAGCACCCACTGAACTTCACGCCATAAACGGTAAATAGATGACGAATTTCACAAACCATTGCTCGCATCGAGTTTTTGGTCAAACTAATTTTCACTCAACTACATACTCTCTAAAATCGTCACAAAGGATATTTATTATCATTATTTAACTTTTAATGTCAGTTTTTTTCTGTTATTGAACCAGTTACTATAGCTTATGACATCGTGGGCGAAATGTCAGAGCTATTTTGTAGTATTTGGAGATCTAATTAAACCTTTATTAAATTCAACAGAAGCAATTTTCAATTAATTGGTATATTAATTAATCACTCGTGTTAATTTAAAGCTTACATAATCATTATTTCTGTAAATAACTGATTCAGTCTAATAAGTAAATTTGTTTTAACGAATTTACTTTTCTTTTTGATGAATTTTGATGATATTTACAAATATTGTGTAGTGTACTTAGAACACATTGTTGAGTCACAAGTTTTGAGATGTCATGAAGGTAAATAGTGAATTATAAATTCAAGTAATACCCGGAAAATTTTGAAAGGTAGTTTCGTGACAGTATCATCGAATTTTAATGAACTAGAGTGCATTTGAAAGTTTAAATTCTGGACTCTTAAAATAGTCTGCTCAAAATGTGTTATCCCTACTGCTTCATATTGAAGGGTTTTTTACCCTCCTAACATTTTTATGAAGCAGCAGATCTGAACGAGCAAAAAATATTTAGAGGAAACTACTGAATATAAACTTTCAAATGGACCGTAGTTTATTAATATTTGATGATTTTTTTAGCAATATAAGCCTTTTAAAATTTTTACATCCATGAGATTTTTTTTAAAATCACTAATACTGAATAGTTGAATGTGAATATTTGACATCATTTGTTAAAATTTCTAAAAGAGTAATAACTGAAAAATATGTGAAATATATTTTCAATTAATAAATCTCTGAAAATGGAAATTTTCATCAAATAACAATAGATCCTGCCAATTACAGTTCTCCAATGAAATTGAATCTTTAAATAGAACAGCCTGTCAAAATTTCCTATTTCGATTTCAGAGAGTATTTTATCAACTGACCACAAAAACTGTTTTCAAAATTCCAACCAGCTTTCTAGGTTCCTACATAACCAGAAGATTAAAGCTTATGTTTTGTCATAGTCGCAACTTTGATCACCAACTTACTTAAAAAAAAAAACAAGTACTGAAGTTCATCCTGTTTTACTCTGGTAGAGTTCACTTTAAAAAAAAAAAAAATATCTCCAACATCTTGACAGCCACGTTTTATGCATGCTAAATTTTTTCACTGCTCTCTGAGGTACAATTTTTGTTATCGTGTCAAGAAGACTTTGGTACATCAAAAATTAGTTACCAAAGATATGATAATTTTGTTCACATTTATTTGATAATAATAATGATAGATCTTTTAAAATCCTTCTTTGTGAATCTATCAAAAATGATTTATATACAATTTATGGCAAACCAGTCTTCAAGTGAAGATAATGATTACTCTTCTTATCGAAACAAACAGAAACAATATCATTTTTTATAAGAAACAATTGCAGAACAAATAAGATAAATAAATAAACGATCATTGAGAATTGTTAGTTTCATGAAAAATATTAGAAAAAGATTCCATTAAAACTCAGTTCTTCCTCTTACAATTCTATCTGTGCTCTTGTGGCTGCAGGATATCTATATTTTCTACAATCTCAAGTATCCATGAATCAATTCAACATCACAACAGACAAAATAAATCGATTAATCATTCTAAAGCTTTTTTTTCTTCATTATTTTAAGAAATATTAATTATCCATTTCATAAATTCTAATTCACTAATAAAAATCTCCACGACATTCACCATAATTCTTCTCAATTTATCTGTATGAAGAGTTGGTATTAATGGATGGGAAACATTTTGGTCGATTTCCTAATGTTCTGGTATGTGATTTGAATTACGAATTACCCAATCCATCTAGGCATCCTTTATTCTCATGCTTTAATCGCACGTAGGTGAAGGATAGTAAATCAACCAACGTACTTCTCCTGATTACAATTGATCAACCAATCCTGTATTCAAGCTATTTACCTATACACATGTTATACTACATTCAGAACTAATGTTATTGTCAAGCTAAACTGTATTATTATATCTAATCAAATGCTTATAAATTAATTTAATTTTGCATAGAACTCTTTTTAAACACATTGTTGATTTCATTTAAAGTTAAAGCATCAAAGAGATTTTATCATTTGTAGCTGACTAAATTGCATTCCAAAAACTGAAACACACTAGAGTATTTCCACTTCATGATGTAGAAACAATAATACGTTTCTACATTTTCCTTTGGTGATTGATTGTTTTACATTTTTTAATATTTGCTGTACTTTAATTTGTGCTTTAACTTGAACAAAAATAATTCAAAAAACAATTAAAAATTATTCTTCATCCAGGTTTGCTTGATTCTCATATTTTTATATCAATGATAAATATTTTTTTTCAATGGTTACAATCAACAATGATATTTTATTAAATCAATAAAAGTGTTTCATGATAAATAAATACATAATTCTACTGTGTTTCTTGTAGCTATAAAGATTTATCCTCTATAAATACTAACAATACAATTGTAAAGTACATAATCATACTAAATATCGGATTCTACCAATAAATTCAATTAAAACTCGACAAATTACAATTTGAATGATTGAATTCGTTGAATCAATCAAAATTCAACAAATAACGTTTGCACGACGACAGCTGGATTTTACAGTGCATTGTCAATTAAACCATCTGTAAATTAATTTTAAAAATTACGTGAGTCACTAATTAAAATCGGTTTTGTGACAAAACTCAATACACTATTGTGAATTTTTGCCCCTAAACATAGAAATGATTGACAACTTGGACACTTGAATGAATAAATCAATACCTAATATTTTACAATAATCATTTTCATTACATTTCACGATAAATGGCAATTAATTTTTTATAATACCATGTTTTTATTAAACCAAAAAGCTAGAATACTGATCTTATAAATAGAAAATTCATCTCAAAAAAACTTCCATTATTTATTTATTTACTTCTGGAGAAGGATATTATTTAAAATCCTTCAAATCTCCTGAATCTTTAAATCAATCTAAAATTAATGTTTATTGCAATGGAATGTGTTATCTTACAAATAAATTCTCATACTGTCAAGTAGATTTATCGATTTTGGATATTAATCGATTAACAATCGAGTTATCAGAAATGGATATGTTTTAGTAGAACTCTAAGGGGAAAAGGAATGCACTGAGTTAGACATTGAATAATTACTATTTACGAATCTCCACTATGTGACAAACGCACTTGACATACAATATTCATCTGTTAGGGAAACAAACTTGACTGTTTGCATGGTTTGTCGTTGATTAAGGATACAGTAATCTGAATTCTGCTTCCTATGATCAATTATCATACGGCTGACCCATTCTAGTCTTCACTACTGTTGCGTGAAGCTGCTATTGACAACTGTATCTATGAAACGATGAGATTAATTAATAGGTATGATAATAAATTACTATATTCATAAAACACATCATGACTGTGGGATATTAATTTACAAAATTTTATAAATAATTCTCCAATAATAAATCATTTATTTTATTATTTACTTTGCTATCAATAATATAACTCAGAATTATTACTTTTTCATTCCATTTTATTAATTATTTTGCAATAGGTAAATTTCAGTTGAATTGAAATTGGAAAAAAATTATCTACTAAAAAAAATTTATTGCTATAAATGGAAATTTTTCAATTAAATATCTTAAAATAACTCATGGAATAATATGATGTTTAAATTATTTTCAATTAAATCAATGATTCAAGAGGTATTTATTCATCAATTCAAATAAGATCCTACTGCTCTAATAAAAAATACTTATTCTCCATTTATTTATTTTTAATTACTCGTTGATGTACAAATTAGTATTTTTATTTCTCAACTAACTTCATTACAGTCTTTTAAAAACATTCAATCATAAATATTTTATTATCATCAATTTAAATATAAACCTACCAGCAATCGATCTACCTTGATATCAAATGAATTGAGAATGCCAATAAGTACTAGAATTTATTGATGAAATTAACTCAAGAAACCAAATAGTTGAAAGAAAACAAGACATCAAAAAAAAGTAATTTTCATAATTTAACGCTAATTAGTACCTCTAGAATCTTGTTTTTATATCAAAACTTGAGTTTAATAAAAAGAAATAATTGGTCTGACATGAGTGATGAAGTTAATAACAATAATTATCTTAACGAGTTGAATAATAAAATTAAATGAAAAGTATAAAAGTGGAAAAGTCGGCGCATAGTCAGACAAGTGTAAAGTTAGAGTTTTCAATGCCTTGTAATAATAATAATTGGCCAGGAGATATGTGCTATGTTGAGGTCTCGGTCATTCAGTAGAGGCCACGAGTTCGCATAATGGGACCTTGTCGGTAGCTATCGTCTCGCTAACTGCCGCAGCTTTAGATCGAATCTACCGGTGTTTTTACGCGGCATGCAACCAAGTCTCTCTATGTGCACTGCTTGTATATATTCTTCTACAATGTACAGCATACCTTCGATCCTTGTTCTAACGACCTCGAGACACACTGGCGCTTGCTATGTTCCTATATGTACACCAACGTGTAACCTTAAGATGACAATGGGGCAATGTCATTGCCAATTTCGTACTATTGGTGCACAAAAAATTCTCTGCTCTTTTTTCTTGTTCTCTTTTATCTAATAAGAGTAGTATTTTTATTCTTTTTATCATTGAGCAATTGTTTGGTTTCAACGATAAACACTCAGCTACTTTAGAGTGAGGAAGTGGTGGAAAATACCTTTGTTGAAGGACACTAAACTAAATAATAGTCAATAGAATTAATAAAATAAAAAAAAAAATATTACTTGAATGGGATTTTTACTCTTACTTATTTCTCGGTTCTTTTATTAATTCTTTTTGCTGTATTTAATGTCAAACAATTTTTTCCACACTATATTAA